TAGGACGTGTGAGGAGAAGGGATGTAACCAGGAGCCCCTCAGCAGGGCTGGGGGCTGGGCTGGGGCAGGAGCGGCTCCAGCTCACCTGGGATTCTGGGGTGTGCCTGGCAGCCACCACTGCGTCTTCTGTGAGGTCCCCTCCCAGGGCAAGCCCAGGAACCTGCAGAGCTGAGGAGAGCTCTGGATGAGATCTACCCCCACAGTCGGCCTCCCTACCTGTGGAGTCCAAGTTCAAACACTGGTTAGTACATTCCCGCCAAGGAGTTTATGCCGTGTGCTCCTTTCCAAAATCCTTGATCCCTCCCAGCTCCAGTCCTAGACCCACAGAGATCTGGTGTGTTCTGTAGATACAGAAAATTGATGGATGCTTGGTAGGAATGACANGTTATACATGTATAATCCTTTCTGGTTTATAAAAGGCTTTCACATATATCTCTTCACATGATACAAGAAACAAACACCAAAGAAAAATGAACAGTGTTTAAGATCAAGGCCATTAGCAAATATTTAGGAAAAACAGAAAAGAGAAAAGGAAATAACTAATTTGTGGAGGTAACAAAAATAAGGTTAATTTAAAAGGAAATTTTAAAAGGCTAGAAATGATTAAGTGAAGAAAGTCTATAGGGTTGTGAGAGCTAAAGGTTTGTGTTGGACTGCAGTGGGGACACTGAGGGCACAGGCTGTAGGACTGGTAGAGGGAGAGCCCTGTGGTTTAGAGAGTCTCTAGTTAACCTGTGCTTCAGAGCAGAAATCCAGGACGGTAAGTGAACAGAACATGGTCAGGGTTTCGTCCGAAACTGAATCCATTCTTGGCACAGCCTGGTGCAGCTGGAACCAGGTGATATGCACTCAGGCACTGAGGAAGAACTCACAGAAGGTGATTTGGGTGAAAACAAGATATCACAAAATTTTTACTTTGGATAACTCACAGCATAGTCTTGACTTCACATGTTGACACTGGACACGGTGGGATCACTCTGGTCAGACAGGGTTCTCTGTGTGTGTCTCTCCTGCCCACACTCAGGTCTGTCCTCATTGGCTGCCTCTGTCCCCATCATCTCATCCCCAACCATGGGCAGTTTTGAAAACAGGAATGATACTGGTTATAAATATTTGGTGTGACTCCTCTGACCTGGAGGAAGATTAAACTCAGCTGACATATGCCTTGGTGCACCGTAGGCTCTAAATTGGGAGGGATGCAGATGGTGTCTTGACACTTGGTTATGCCCAAGATAAGTAAAAGCTGAGAAGAAGTTATTGAGCATCATAGACATTTTGTCAGGTTCATAGTCATTTTGATCTGACTTGATAAATTCATATTTACCTGAATGTGAACAGTTTCCCCCTAACTGTTAAAATTAAGGTGAACTAATGTAATTGACACTGACTAAAGAATGGAGCTGTATGGATGGAGCAGTCTCAATGTCTTAATGACATTGTTTAAGGCATTCTTTTTTTTTTCCCCCTCACCTGTGGATATTTTTTCCATTGCTTTTCAGAGAGTGTAAGGGAGAAAGAGAAAAACATTGATGTGAGAGACACCACATCAATTCGTTGCCTTCTGCATGCACCCCGCCAAGGCCAGGGACTGAGCCTGCAACTGAGATATATGCCTTTCACTAGAATTAAATCCAGGACCCTTCAGTCCTCAGGCCTACATTCTAACCACTGAGCCAAACCAGTCAGAGCTGTTTAAGGCATTTTTAATGAAAGCTCCACCCCAACTCTGACAAGCCTATGTATTTGGCAACAGATACACTACATCAACCTCTGAGTCTAGAACATCAGAGAATCAGACACAAACACTGATGGCCTTAGTTAGAAACTCCAGAGTTTCAGACAAAGTCATTTCACACGTAGCACCTATGTGCTAACAAAGCACCATGGGGGCACGTCAGTGATCCAACCCACTGGTGAAGGATTAAATATGGGCCGAATGACTAGAGCAGCAGCCCTCAATTAGAGCCACAGACCCAGGAATGTCATAAAGTGGTGGCTCAGGGGGAGGAGCCAGTCTGGAAGCCCCTGAAGTTCAACAGGTCGGAAGAAACCGTCTCAGGTCCTACCTCTTCCAGACAACAATCCAGAGCCTCTTTTCAAACAAGTGTTTTTCCAGTCATCTTCTAGAGTGTGGCAGATCTCCGACACCACCTGATAACCTGTGGCAAATGAAGCCCCAGCCCATAATCTCTGTGGTCAGCAAGGGCTCCAGGGTGGCTTCAATTCAACGAGGAAGGAGCACCAACTTTGGCACCTAAGCCATGGGTCACCGGGACAGAATTTTCTTCACAACGTGGCTTCTCTGATGTTGAACAAGGTATGAAGTTCGGGTGAAGCCCTTTCCACATGCATCACACTCATAGGGTTTCTCACCCGTGTGGATTTTCTGGTGTTCAATAAGGCTTCTGTTCCTAGTGAAACTTCTCTCACACTCATTACATTTATAAGACACGGGAGCCTCAACATCCCCCTCCTGGCTCTCTCTCTTCCCGTGACTCTCCCAAGTCTCTCCATGCTCAGCATCCTGAACACTTCTATCTCTATGGACCCTCTGATGTCTCAGGAGATGTGAATTCCGCCTAAAGGCTTTGCCACACACGCTGCACCGGTACGGCTTCTCCCCAGTGTGGATTCTGTGATGTTCAAGGAGGCTGCAGCTCTGGCTAAAGGTCTTCCCACAGTCATCACACTCATAGGGCCTCTCCCCAGTGTGTGTTCTCTGGTGTTTGATAAGGTTTGAGCTGTGACTGAAGACCTTGCTACATTCTTCACAGGCATAGGGCTTCTCCCCAGTGTGGACTCTCTCGTGAATAACAAGGGCCGAACTCCCGATGAAGGACTTGCCGCAGTCTTCACACTCATAGGGCTTCTCCCCAGTATGGATTCTCCTGTGCTTAGTCAGGCCTGAGCTCTGAGCAAAGCTCTTTCCACATTCATGGCAAATGTGCCGCCTCCTCCCAGCGGTGGTCTTCTGCTTTCTTTGTAATCTGCCCTCCAGTTCACTGGCCCCTGCACATGTAGCTATCTTGGCAATGGCTTCACCCAGGTGGCACGGTATCTGCCCAGGCTCCTGTTCCAGGTGCTCCTCAGCTAGAGGCAACTCTTGGATCTTGGTCTGTATTTCACCACCTGAAAGAACAAAGGGCCAACAACTGTCTGTTACACCCTGCGGCGTGGAGGAGAGCTCTGTTGAGTCCCAAGGAGGCAAGAATGACAGAGGTCTATCTACACCATGGATGGGGCTTAAGTACAAGAATGAGGGAGAACAGGCGTGCTGGGGAGTGAGGAGACTT